GTTCCTGAAATTTGCCTAGACTCCGTACTGATAGTTCTGTTTCAGCCAGCAATTCAGGAATTGTGAGAAATGAAATGGCTAACTACAAAAGACCTTGCCAGTATGAGTGGTTAGGCATCAGAGTCAAGATGCCTAATCACTATAGATTATTTGTTTGACATTCTGTATGAATAAAAAATATGAACAACATATTTTTTATTCATACAGAAGAAAAGATGAATATAAATTTTAAAAATTTAACTAGCAAAATTCAGCTTGCTTAAGTTAGAGACTCCAGATCTGTATCAACTCTAGTCAGAAAAAACTAAGAACTTTATGCAAAAAAGATTGTTGTCATATTCTGGCACTTGGATGTTTTTTTTTTTTCCTTTTTTTTTTTGGCTTTTAAAAATTTGTTTTTATTTACTATTTTTACAATTTATTCACTTTGTATCTCGGCTGTAGCCCCCTCTCTCCTCCCAGTCCTATCTTCCCTTCCTCTTCTTCCCCTATGCTCATCCCCTAGTCCACTGATAGGAGAGATTTCCTCCCCTTCTATCTGACCCTAACCTATCAGGTCTTATCAGGACTAGATGCATGATCTTTCTCTGTGGCCTAGCAAGGCTGCATTCCCCAGGGTGTGTGTGTGGGGGGGGGGGGGGGGGGGGGTGATCAAAGAGCCACCCACTGAGTTCAACTTTGAATTAAAACAAAACAAAAGTAAATTCTAATTCCATGTTTGCTTTTCTAATTGTTAGTCTTTTACTGTTATCAAATTTAGTCGCATGTCAGAAAGTTGTTGCACACTGAAAGATACGTGTTTCAAGTGAGAATTGTCTGAAGAGCGGTATATTTAAAGTCTTCTGAGTAAAGTGAGATGACTGCAAGAAATAATTGATGCATTCAAAGGAACTCCGTAGAAATTCAGCATAGAAATACTGGTTCCCTTTAAAGGCAGCTTTTCAAGAAACCTTAGTCTCCTGAGTCCTTCAAGGCTTTCTTTGGTACCTCCTGCCTCTAAAACTAGGTCAAGCATCGAGACCATCTGAGATTCATCTTCTACATCATTTCTCTAACACAGATTTGACTCCCAGTTAGAAAGTCAAGTAGAAAATTTACACTGATTGTGGCTACTCTACACTTCCTCACACTTGCATGATCTTTCTTTGCATCCTAGTTAAAAAGGAGAATTTTAAAAAGACTTTCTATTATTACATTGGCTATCGAGGTTTTTACAAAAATCTCTCAACTGTGCAAGAAAGCCATTGTTCCAGGAGCACTTCTTCCTCTTGGTTTAGTAAGGCATGAGGTCATGAGGTGTGGCTACTTATCTGAACAGCATCTTTGCCTTTTTCTCCTTCAGTGATCTTATGCTTGCAAGTATCCATCTTTGCAGCATCATTTATTCTCCCTTGCACTTTGCTCCCCACCACCTCCCTCTTCCTCTTACAAGCACATATATACACACAGCCGAACGGAGAGGAAAATCTATATGTGTCAGACATTCAGCAAGGAAAAGACAAAGGCACTGAGTTAATTACCCATCATTTACTGCTGCTGAGAAGAGCAGATGGCAGTGGACGATATGTAAATGGCAAGGGGCAGTGAATTATTCGATTTCTTTAGATTAATCGTCGATGACAAAGGAAGTGATTACAGCCTGTGACATTTATACAAATGTATAAAGTACATCATACTAAAAAATAGAGCTTAATATTATTATGAGAGTGTCAGGCACATGAACATTACTGTCACAATACAAAGCAATAAATTTCCAATAACACAAGAACCCATCCTCCTTAAACCTAAAAAGTTTATGGAACAACATACTCTGTGAAGAACCCAAGGCTGAATATTATAAAATAGTTCTCTAAAACTAACTATATTAAATAAAGTATATATATATATATATGTATATGTGTATACACACACACACACACACACATATATATATATATGGACCATTGTATGCAGTCAAAGGATGCATATTCCGACATGAAACAAAATAGGATTTGTTCTCAACAGATCTGGTGCTGCATCAGTGAGTGGACTGTGAGACACACACACACACACACACACACACACACACAAAAAAAAAAAAAGGTGGTAATAAAGTAAAAGTAGAAATTGAAATAAAATGCATTGTTTCACAATGAATAAGGGTGTGGGGAAAAAATCATTCAAAAAGAAAAAAGAAAGGTTTCGTTCTTATTCCATAAACTACAATCATAGCTGTGGGCGACAGAAAATCTCCCAATAAAGTGAAGAAATTTCTGGCCAAGCTTCCTTTCTTAAAATAGTTAAGTGCTGACAAGCATATGCGCGCGCACACACACACACTCCAACTGCATTCTTTTGCAGGAAGGAAGCACATCATCCTATTATTTTCAGTTGCTTCAATAATTAATTGGTACATGAGAAAATCAGATGCTTTCCCTGGCAGATCAGAGAATTTGCCCCATCATCAAAATGTTTGCCATCACCCTGTTATTAAAAGTATATGGTGTTAATATTATGAAGGGAGAGCCATGAAACCACATTTGTTCTCTGAAAGCATTCCAGCCACTGCAGTCCCGAGGCTTCCCTGTGGGATTGAGAGTCCCAAACATCAAAATCAAGGAAGACGTAAAGCTTGGGGCACATCTATTTATACACGTAAGAAATACTTTCAAAATACCTGAAGCAGAACATTATCAAAACCGCTGCTGAGTATTCCACAATTGTACATTCATTCTTTGTTGACAATGGTGGTTCCTTGTCAACAAAGGATAGGGCAGGGAAATAGGGCAGGAGCTGGAGTGGAGGAAGGGTGCTTAGTCAGCAGAACCCCCCTCCCACCCCACTTCCCATCCCCCACCCCCAGCCACAGCAGCAGTGACAACACTAGATAGAGCATTTGAGTCTCGAAGTCCATTTTGAATGAACATGGGTTCAGGAATAAAGTGCAGGCAGAACCAATCTGCCCTGAAGAAAAGCACAGCATAAAATATTGCACAACGAAATGAGAATTTTCAGGATGGCTTTAACAGCAAATAAAGCTGGGAGGTTCACAGAGCAAACCATTAGCATTGTGTGCTCTTGTAGAAAACATTAGTGGTTTTGCTGTTTGCCAGAAAAGCAATTTTATAGATTAAAATAAATGCTGATTTTTATCTTGGCATGAATATGATACAGAATATAATTTGGTTTCTTTTAAGATGTTTACCTCTAGATACATGTTGCTGGAATTATATATGAATATACTTTCACCTGAGTTGCTTTCACCTTTAAGCAGAATTGACTTCAGGACAAAACCACATTATTCTTACTCAGCATTTCACATGGTTATTATTGTAGTCTCCTCTAAGTAAAAATAACAAACAATATATTTATGAAGATTAGTTATTTCCTGGTCTTTATAACAAAAAAAGGAACAAATGTTTTAGTGAAAGATACCATGTTAGTCCTTTTGTACTCTTGGGTTGTGGCCTGCAAGTACAGTGCTTTTTCTCTAATTTTAACATTGGTGGACAATATATAAGCCAGATAAAGTAATATTTAGTAAACTGGAAGAGCAGATGTTCTGTGAGAATTTTCACTTAAACATTCCATAAATAAATGTCAAATTTACAAAAGAAAAATTATAGTCCCTTGAAGCTGAAGTTGTTTTCTGCCACTGAAAATCCTTAAGAAATCCACATCTGTGTCCCCTCCTCCCAAAATAAGAAATGCATTCTTTCAATAAAACATTCACAAAAATATTTATTTTTTTTAAATATTTATAGTCATGCACATATGTTCGGTTGACTATTCTTTGGGTATTACAAAAGACAAATGGAAATCCAGAAATGGTTGTTTAGATTCCATGTGAGCACCCAGGCTGCAACTATTTAGACAATGTAATATTTCTGTTTTATAAAAGACAAAAATGAAAGCAATATTGTAGATAATCAAACAAAATTTTATTTGCTTCATAGCAAATAAACTTGTGCTTTAATAAATGAAGATTTCACTTATTGGTATTACCAAATAGGTACGATTATGTAGTGAAAATATTAAAATATCAAAGGTATTATATAAGTAACAAATATTTATGCTTTTAAAATAAAGGTTATTAGCACAAAATATAGTAGTATAGGATTATAATACATTTATATATAGTCTAGCTATTAGTGACATCAACAATACTTTATGAATCTTCAGTGTATTCATAAAGAAATACTTTGATAGAAATATAAGCATTTATAATGAGGCCAATGTTTAAAATAGCATGTAGAGTTTATTTTTTAAATTAGTTTAGAATTTTAGGAAAATATATTTTAGGAAATATAGCCAAACTGTAAAATTATTTATCTAAGTAAAATAGTACTAATGCCACTAAATTTGATCTGCATTAAATTAAACAAGGATTTTTAAATTTTGAAAGGTCTTTTTTCTCGTAGAATGGAATGAACATGTCAAAGCCCACTGAAGAAATCAACTAAAATAAAGCATTCCATAAAATCAAAAGACAAAGATCTAGCTAGCTTCTAGAGGTAATTTATGGGTTCTGTTTATTTCTTGCTTCACTCCAGTGGATATCTTGTAAGCCAATGCAATCTGAAACAGAATTACAAACCTGTACAAGCACAAAGAAGTATACATTTCATTTTAGCTTATTCTAGCGCCTTTGTCTTCCACCTTTCCAAACAATATCATTTGTTTTTATAAAATATCTTAGAAACATTTTGCATTGTGTATGCACATAAATATATATTTTGTATATTAAATATTTACCTGCATTTTATATACAATATACACTTGCAACACTCCACTATTCTCCAACAGCAAAGATAGAAAGCCTCCACAAGAGAATGCATGCAATCACTCCCTTTCTTTTTTAAAATATATTCAATTGAGGCAATATTAATAGTTCTTTAAACCACAGATTATCTCCAATTTTCCTACTTTCTTATTTATAGATGATAAAATATATTTTGTCTTTTAAAAATAACATCAACTCAAAGACTTATAAAATTCTGTCTTGTAAGAGTAGATCTTACATTTCATCTTAGGATGCTTCTTCCCCGTTCAACTCCACTGACTCCATTTTTATCAGTTCTATTTTTAAGGGCAATACAGAATTTACTATAGCAACCTAAATTCAAATCGATTTTTCACTCCCCTTCTTCATCTAAATCAAGCAAATACAGCCCTCTGTTGGAAGGACTTCAGAATGCATTATGTTGCCTTTATTTGAGGCAGAGAACATGTTTTGAGTGCTATTGTTTTGTTTTTTTAATTTTTATGCTATCAATTTTTATGACAAGTAGGTATATAAAACCAGGTTATGTGTAGCCTCACAACATGACAGACAATAATTTGTGCCAAAATAATAAACTATATAAACACAGATCAACGTTCTAGTGACTCTAATCTGTAAATTAATTGAAGGAATGATGATAAACTGGCAATTATATTCCACTACATTCTTTAGTCAGTAAAACACTTGGATACTGTTTAGACAGAAGAGAATTAATTCAGACTTTCTTTCATTTAGCCTGTAAGAGAGATCCAGAGATGAGAAATACACTCACATGACAAGTAATCATTTAAATGGGTTTTAGGAGCTTTTAAAGTGTTAAAATATTTATATATTCATTTGGAACCACAATATTTTCCTACATTTATAAAAGAAGTAACCCAAAGAGAAGATTATTCAATTTTTGAGGGTTACTCTTAGAAATATGAGGTTCTTTTAGTACATTTTGTTTTAAATCAAGTTGAGCAGAAAGACCATTGGCATACAAGTGTACCACCTTCCTTGGAGAGCTCTGTTTTCCCATATGCTGCAAACATCACCCGTTTCTCCTGCAGGTTTCTTCCATGCATACTGTCTGCTACTGGTTTTTAACAGTAGCAGGTTTTCTATCACTTTCTCTTATCTTTCTATCTGTCCAGTGTATACATCAGCTTCACCCTCTTGGAGAATTATTTCCACCAACCTGACACAGCCCCACATTCAAAACACCATGCTCTGAATCTCATCTTTGAAAGGTCATTATTGCTTTGCAAGAAAATAACAACTGCTTTTGTGGGTTCTTAACTCACATTGGTTAACTAATGTTAAATGGATTTTCTTCATGAAAGTATTCTTTTAGTTAGTACATGTGGCAGATTGTCAAACGGACACTTACTGATTCAATTTTCAATCTTATAAAAAGCACATCAAAGTTATAACTTTTAGTAAATGTGAGTGGCTCATTTTCCAAGGGTGAAAAGGTGGGTAAAAATGTGTGTGCGTGCCAGCTTGGCTTCTCGGAATAACCTTTTTCTTGTAAGATATAGATAAAAAGTCAATCTAGTTCATTTAAGAAGCAGGGAAAGGCTTTTACAGCTTCTGGCAAAGGGCATTAGGTATATTTTTAAAAAGACTCAATTATTCTATATTACATAAGCAGATATTAGAAAGTGGATCTTGGAAACCGTCTTTACATGAAAGAAAATGCTGATCTTCTTACTCTAAGCCAAACCAGCTTTGCATTCGTGCTTATTTCAGTACAGCTAGTGTCTACAATTGTAGCTGAGCATTTCCAGAATATATACCACTCCATTTTGAGGGGACGAAAGAACCTTAGACCAGAGGAACAGAACAAGCATCCATGAAAAACAATAGGTGGTAATTCAAAATGAGAAGAAAACTCTCATTTAAGGGAAAACTAAGCCCACCTTCAACTTCACACTTCTCTCCTATTCTCTCTTTTACTTTTATTATATACTTTTTTATATATATTTCACCTTTTTTAATTTTTTCACTTCCATAAGACTCAGAGAAATTGTAGTGTTTACTTGCTTTAGGCATTTATTCTTCTGAAAAAGGAGTGAGGAGAAGCAGCCATAGAGAATAACAGAAAGGAAGACGGCATTAATAACTGCAGACAAAGCCAACCCAAGGCATTTTAGACAATGAAACTGATGTAAGGTCAAAAAGTAAATATTTAAAAGTGAATTCATAGATTTAGACAAGGGAGTTTGGAGGAAGGCCAATTTGTCTAAACTCTAATTCATTCATCTAATCCTCGAGAATTGTATTTAGTACCAGCAAGACAAAGATTCAGGCTCTGTAGAGAATGCAGTAACTCTAGCAAGGAAGGAAAAGCTTCAGTCAAGATTAAACTGAAGTGATTACTACATAGCTGCAAATATTTTGCAAATACGGTTAACAAGAAGGTGTTTCATGTGTTCATTTTAAGGTTTTCTTTAACTAATGAAAATAACTGAGTATCTTGCTGTGGTCTAAAATCAACTTCAAGTCTCATAGAGTTGTATAAAAGTCTTTTCTCGGGGAGGAGGTCCTCCCCAATCAGTGGACTTGGAAAGGGGCAGGGAGGAGATGAAGGAGGGAGGGTGGGATTGGGAGGGAATAAGAGAGTGGGATACACCTGGGATACAGACTTAATAAAATGTAACTAAGAATAAAAAATTAAATTAAATTAAAAAAACAAAACAAAATTTTAAAAAAAGTATTTTCTCTTGTAGTGAATGTATTTGCCTTGTTTCTGGCCACATGGCCTCAAATCTCTGAATTCAGAACACAAAAATTCACAGACATGAGTGACTTATCTCAGCTTCATTGTCGTTGAAAATGGCATACCCCTGGCCAGCATTCAGCTCAGACAAGTGTCTGCCGCAGCAGATAACTTGATCTAAGTTTCATGGTTGAACTTAAAGATCTGGTGGTAGGTTAGTCCTCTAGAATTGAGTGTGCTACATGGGTGTATTGTGAGTTAGGTGTCCTTGAATGACTTTTATTCCAAAAATCGATTGGAGATTCTTATCATTTGAATCATTTTACCTTGATATCACCTAGGAAACAACCTTTTCTGTGGAAGATGAATGAAGTCATGAAACAGTGGGAATCTCTCCAGGACACACATGAAGTATGTATGTAAGAAGGTTTCACATGCTAAGAATAATTTTCTTCTTTCACTCACTAAAATTGATTATCAACAACTAAAGTAAGTCACTTGTTTTTTTATAGGTTGTTGCTAAGTAAATGTACCTAGAATCCCCATTTAAATGCATTAGGAACAACACAGCTGACCCCATCATCAGATCATATGTTATTAATTTCTGCATGGCCATGTACATAAGGCCCAGGTAAGCTCTGAGATAGGAACTATTTCAACAGGATTCTTACAATACTCACTTTAATGGAAAAATAAAATTACTTACAAATACCTCAGCTTCTTCTAAAATTAATTTCAGAACTTCAAGAATAGCCTGGGTCTTTTATCTTACAGCACAATATTCTGTAAAATTTCCTAAAGAAATAGTCAAAAGCAGCAGCAAGATGTTGAATACTATTAACTTTCAATAGGCCAAATTTCAGCAAATGAGACAGCGTGATAAATTTGATAAAATTACAATGAAAGATATAAAAGTCCATATTGAAAAATTTCCAAAATCATAACCTCAGGAATCTACTTATGTAAAATGAACAATGGGAATTGATCTACCTCAAGATCCAGCTATACCACCCTTGGGCATATCCTCAAAGTGTGCTTCATCCTACCACAGAAAACCTTGCTCAGTCGCGTTCATTGCTGCTCTATTCATATAGCCAGAAACTGAAAACAACCGAAATGTCTTTCAACAGAATAGAGATATTTTTAAAATGTAGTACATTTACATAATGGAGTATTATTGAGATTTTAATTAAACAATAACTTAATGAAATTTTCAAAAAAAATAGACTGAATGAGACAAAAATTATCCTGAAAAAAGTAACTGAGACCTAGAAAGACAAATATGATTAGTACCTTATTTAGTCATCATCAGATAAACTTTCTTCTTCAGCAGATATACGCACACATAGAGAGTGACAGCCAGACGTTATGCATAGAATGTGAAAACTTTTGAACACTCTGCCCTAAATGGGATGTCTCCATCAAATCTCTTCCTTCAGAACTTAGGGAATCCCATAAGAAAAGCTTGTAAAAATATTATAAGAACCAGAGGGAATGGAGGGCTCCAAGAAAACAAGGTCCTCTCCATTGATACATTCAAAACTTTTATGAACTCATAGGGACTGAGACAAAGCATGAACAGGGTCTTCCAAGGACTGCACCAGGCCCTCTGTGCTTATACTGTGGCTTGTAGTGTAGTGTTTTGGATTCCCATGCTTTTCATGTTTTCACGGCATTATTGAATATTTGAACAAGGGGATCCCTGATTCTTGTGCCTTCCCTTGGACTCTTTTCCTCTGTTGATCTTTCTTGTTTATCTTCAATATGATAGTTTTTGTTTTATCTTTATATATACATACACATATATATATTCCAGACTGTGTTTGCTGTCTTCTAGATATGGCTGTAATTAAAGCCAAAATAATTCTGTTTTGAATAATGGAATTATGCTGAATGGATTTGAAATATGAGTTGTACAGAATAATGAGATTTCTCTAGACTGCATAGCTAAATGTGGAAATTATATAGACAAAAAAGTTAGGTCTACTTGCCTTTACACCACAAGTACTTCACTGCTAAACTGACTTATTCCTAATTTCAAGTGATATTCACAGGCAAGGGGAAAAAAGAAGATTTTTCTGTTTAGTATTGTAATGATTACTCACTTCATAAAAACAAAAGACCTAAAACTGTAAATCTGTTATCTTGGGAAGGACCATGTTCCCAGCCGTGAACCTGGGATACCCAGAAACAAACCTGGTATCCTGGTATCCCCACCTACAAAGAGAGATCTAATTAATTCCAAATTTCCAAATATAAAATATTCTGGTGTTGCTCAATAATCTACTTATGCTAACTTTTTGGATTAAAAACCTATTTTTGGAGGTAAAAAAAAAAAATAAAATAAAATAAAATAAAATAAAATGCATGAATAAAAGAAGGATGAAAGAAAGATGGTAAAAAGGAAGGATGGAAGGAAGGATGGAAGGGTGAAAACTTAGCCACTACAGTAAAGGTTGAGTCTGATCTGTCATTTATACCTGCTGGGAGAGCAAACTCAGTTTTCTCCAATGGAGTGGCACTTGGTTTCATATATATATGAAATCAAGGATTGAAACTTGAAGAGAGCTACTCTTCT